ATGGGCGGAGGAGAACAGGATGGGGTTTAACACGGACAAGTGTAAGGTGATGCACCTGGGGAGGAACAATCGGCACCACACATACAGGCTGGGGAACTCCCCTCTTGTCAGCACGGAGGTGGAAAAGGATCTGGGAGTCATTATTGACTCCAAGATGAACATGAGTCGGCAATGTGGGGAGGCGGCTAGGAAGGCCAACTGCACCTTGTCGTGCATCCACAGATGCATCTCAAGCAGGTCCAAGGAGGTGATCCTCCCCCTCTATGCGGCACTGGTCAGGCCGCAGCTGGAGTACTGCGTCCAGTTCTGGGCGCCGCACTTTAAGAGGGATGTGGACAGCATCGAGAGGGTCCAGAGGAGGGCCACTCGTATGATCAAGGGACAGCAGGGTAGGTCCTATGAGGAAAGGTTGCGGGACCTGAACCTGTTCAGCCTTCAAAAGAGAAGGCTGAGGGGGGATCTTGTGGCCTGTTATAAACTGGTTAGGGGGGATCAGCAGGCGCTGGGGGAGTCCCTGTTCCCCCGAGCGCCGCAAGGAGTGACCAGGAACAATGGTCACAAGCTGGCGGAGGGAAGGTTTAAGTTGGACATCAGGAGGCGCTACTTCACGGTCAGGGCGGCTAGAGTCTGGAACCAGCTTCCAAGTGAGGTGGTGCAGGCTCCCACCCTGGGGGTTTTTAAGAGGAGGTTGGATGACCACCTTACTGGGGTCATTTGACCCCAGTGCTCTTCCTGCCATGGCAGGGGGTCGGACTAGATGATCTGCTCAGGTCCCTTCCGACCCTAGAAACTATGAAACTATGAAACTATTAGGCTGGAGTAAACTAATACAAGCACTATCCTGCGGTGGAGTACTTTATTGCAATGCACATGTAGATGCTGACGGGGCTGGCTGGGGCAGAAGAGTGCTTTGGTGTGGAGGCTTCTGGCCGGCTGGCCCCTCACTAGAGCACCTTTGTGCCCCAGCCAAACCCTCTGCAGCACGCTGAGCTGGGTTGGAGCAGCACTGACTGGCAGTGGGCACAAGGGTCAGCCTGCCAGCCAAGGGCTGCTCTGAATGGGCTCAACGTGCAGCAGTCCCAGATGTACATGTAAACAGAGCACCTGGGAGCAATAAACTCCAGTACAATGAGCACTGGAGTTTATAGCTTCACATTAATTTCACTTTGCATTGTAGATGCACCCTATGGGAAGGAACAGTTGGGACACATAAGCAGCATAAACTCAACCCTACAGTTATATCATAGAGAGGAGGGAAAAAAAGGAAACATAGACAAATTAAATGCACATTTTCCATAAATTAACTTAAAAAAAAATGGAACCACAAACTCTAAGTAGCATTAATCACAATCATGTTATGATGGCATGGCGTTACTTCATGTCAGAATATGAGGCTATATCTGTTTTTGTATGAAGCTTTTGCAGTTGCACTTTCAATAATTGTTCCCTGCTTTATGTATTTTATTCTTTTAAATCCCAAACTGGAAGCTTGATTCTGCTGATATAAAAAAAAGCTGTAAAAGTACTGTTAGTTTCTTGTTTTGAAGCTACCTTCATTCAGAACCCCTTGAAAAAATGCAAAAACATTTTATTGTGGAAAGGGTTGCTGAGTTGACACCACTCTGTAGAGTGAAATCCTTTATGTCCAGAACTAATTCAGTTCAGGCAAGAGCAGTACAAACCCTGGAATCACTAAAGTACACCATCTCTACCTTGATCAATCATAATAGATTAACGGTAAATCTAAGGCTGATAGTACAAAATATAGTATTTTGAGGACATAAAGGCTTAGCTTGCTCTTCATTGGAAAATGGATCACAGAAGTTATTTTATTAACAATAAATGGGAGTTTAGAAATGCAGGATTTAGTCTACTGCCACTGAAAGTTGACAACAAAGAACAGGTACCCAAAGGACTTGGCAGGCCGCTGGGTTCATTAGGAGCACCTCACACCAGTCCACAATGGGATGTTTTGCAAGCTTTGTGCCAGAGAAAAAAAATCTCTCACTGGAGTTTAACCCAGGATTTTAAAACTAAATTTTAAAAAGAAATGGTGGTTCAAGAGGATGACTCTGTCCCAAAGTGGATACAAAATGCATTTTAACTTAAACACTATTACCCCTTTTTCTGTTTTTCTTTCCATTCTGAAAATCTTGGATTACTAGTGCATAAACAGCTGCTTCCTCTAGTGTAATCAGCTTCCCTGTTCACAATTCCTTTATTATTACTCATTGTTTCTGAAGTCACAATGTTGTTGTTTGCTTCCACGACCAGTCACAAAGTGCCTTGGATTGGTTTGGAGTTTTCCATTTTTATTCTGCACAGTGTGACAGGCAATATCCCCATGCAATACTGACAAATATAATATAATATTGTCTAAAAGTGTACTCCTCTCTGGGGCTTACATTTAATCTTAAGTGACACGGCCATAAGGCAGGAATAGATTTACAAACCAGATGTTAGTCTGAGTGTCTTGGTTTACGGGTTTTTTAAGGTTTGAGACTTCATGGCCATTTGTCCCTCTAGCTAGCACTCCCTTGCCTCAGATACTGTCTTGGGCCACAATTCCCTATTCCAGCTGAAATACGAGAATGGAAGGAAATGAAAGGGAAAGGAAAGAAAGCAGCATTAAGCTAGCTTTGTGCCTCCCAGCATTCAGAGCCTGATGGAGACCTGTCTGACTGCCTGTGTAATTTAAAGCATCCTTAGGGCTGCTCTAATTTATACCCAGCCTGCCTGTGGCCCCAAAATAATGAGAACACACTGGCCCTCTGGTACTGTCCACCCTTCTTTTGGTAACTGCCAGAAGTTTCAAGATGAGAGGAGAAATAGCATAGGGAAGTTTGCAAACTATAACGCATTGTTTCAGCAGATGTTTGTGTTAACATATGCAGACAGGAAGATCCACTGCCTTTTAGATTTCTTCCCCCACCCCAAACAGAGTGAAACTAATGAGACCTACCTAATCTACTGATGCAGATGAGTCAGTGGAGCTCCATATATATCATAGAGGTTTATAACTGGATATTTATGCCCTATTTTTTAAAATAGTGTTTTCCAGGAAAGAACCGTGAGCTGAAGAATCACCTTAAATCATAATTTTGAGTCAGTATTTATTTATAATTGCTGACTGACAGCTAAGAGGGAAACAACTAGTTAGGCACAATTTGGAAATGCACACTGGATTAACACACAACGCAAAAATCAGGAAGAGCAAGATGATTACGAAAGGATTCATTATAATTTCATTCCCTTTGTGGTGGTAGCCAGCAATAACAGGAAATGAAATAGCAAAAAATATACAACATTTCTACTTTGTTTACAAAAATATTTTTAACCATTTGTGGAAGTTAGATGGTGTTTTTGAAAGTATGTGAATGTAAAATTGAGAGAGAAGGAGGGGGAGAGAGAGAGAGAGAAAGAGGAAAAAGGTACACAGATGTGAGAAAGGGAAGAAAGGGAAGAGAGTGAAGACAAGACAGAATTTGTAGAAATGAGGTCAGAAGGAAGAGTCAAAAAAGAACAAAGAATAACATAACTGGTTTTGTGGCACCACTGCTGTGCTCCAATTACTTAGCAAAATTATCTAGAAACCATAAAAGGTAACGTGTATACTGATTAACACTGCTTTTATTTATCAGCAATACATTTTTACTAAGAAAAGGGGAAAGAGAGAGATAAAAAATTTAGAATTTAAAACAATTAAAAGAATGGCACTCCCTGACACTAACTCCTGGACGCTCATCAGCACTAATTATTATTGTAGTACTGTTTGGTTGCTGAATACGTTGAGCTCACTAGAGCCATGAAATAAGGTTGCCTGTACCTTTGATTCTTCACATTTGAAACCAGCTGAAAATGGCTAGTTCCCAGAAAGCAAGCACATGGCCATAACTTAACAAATACATTGATAGTTATATACAGAATGTAACACAGTTTTTCTCTGGAGGAAGAATCAAACTTAGACTGTATTGCATTACATATGGACATGATGATATAAGTATTAAAATATACAGCTAGCCATTACATAATATAAAAAGGTATTTTAAAGAATTAATGGATATGTACTTTATGTAATAAGAAAAAATAATGATTAATTTCATTATACCCTAATGTCTACCCAAGTTCATGTATACAGAATGTATTTTGAAAAAATGTAAAACTTATGTTGTATGTCTGGGGTTATGATGTAAATACAAGACAATGAATCGAAATTCGTGCACAATGATCATCAGTATCTTAAGGGGATTGTCTATACCAGTGGTTCTCAATCTTTTTAGACTTAAGGCCCCTTCCATAAATTCTATGAATGCAGTGACACTGCATTTAAAAAAAACAATACATTATTTAGTACAACCAGGGGAGTGGCCAGGTAGGGAGAGCCTCATCCTGCCCTCACCTGCTGATCCCCTCACCCATCAAACCTGATCCTCCCATCACCAGCTCATCTCCTCACACCAGCCCTTATCTGTTGATCTCTTCATACCTGGGGCCTGATACTGTCCTTACCTGCTGATCCCCCTCGCACCTTGCTTAGCTCCTCAGAGGAGAGAGGAGACTTAATAGCAGTCTTCAACTATCTGAAGGGGGGTTCAAAAGAGGATGGAGCTAGACCGTTCTCAGTGGTGGCAGATGACAGAACAAGGAGCAATGGGCTCAAGTTGCAGCAAGGGAGTTTTAGGTTGGATATTAGGAAAACCTCTCTCACTAGGAGGGTAGTGAAGCACAGGAACAGGTTACCCAGAGAGGTTGTGGAAACTCCATCCTTGGGGATTTTCAAAACCCAGTTAGACAAAACTTCAGTTAAGATGATCTAGTTGGGAATGGTCCTGCTTTGAGCAGGGGGTTGGACTAGATGACCTCCTGAGGTCCCTTCCAACCCTAACCTTCTATGATTCATGCTTCCTGCAGCACTCTTCAAAAGATCTTGCCACCTGGGTTGAGAGTCACTAGTCTATACCAACATGTCACAGGCACACATGCTTTTCTAACGAACTTACCTTGAAAGATTCAGTCATTTGCTTCATGGTTCCCCCTGTACACCCTCCAGCTAGGCACTCTGTCTGACAGCCCTGCAAAGAACCAAAACACAGGGGAAAGCAAATTAAATGCTTGCTACCAAGACCCAGATACTCACACAGCAGATACTTTGCAGAAAGACTCCCCAAAGTCTGGGACCATCCAATCTCATTGTTACTTGGTCAGAATAAAATAAACAAACAAATAAACAGAGGGAGAGATTTTTCTGCTTGGGTTTCTGCATTTTAACTTATCCCATCCTCTGTGGTGGTTTTGTATCAATCACCTTCTTATTGCTGTGCTTTCTTCAGCCTGCTGAAATTTCCCATTAGTCTTATACATGTCTCAGGGTTATAATCAGAGAATAAATGAGCAACTGTTTTGCTGGAAGAGGTGGGAGGAGGGGGGAGGAGTAAAGACTCCTGTGTTTCTCACAAGTCCTCTCTCTCTTTCTGTTTCATACAGCATAGGATACCAACTTAAGAAGCTAGGAACCACCATCTGGTATTATCACTCAATGTGTGGATTCCCTCTGCCCCATCTGGGCATTTGTAAAGACTTATTGGCATCCTCTTATCTGTGAGAGACAGTGGATATTGCAGCCTATGGTGTAGATGGTTTCCAGTGTCTCATGTGACTGAATAGTCTAATCCAAGATTTGCCTGATTTGTGGCAATGGTTGCAAGCGTATGTGGCATGATTGCGTGGTTCAGAAGCTACTTGCTTCCTCCGGACTCTATTATCTTCATACTGTTCGAGCCAATTCCTGTCACAGACTTTATGACCTGGTGGAGACAGTGATGCCAAGGTTTCCCATCGGTCAGGATTAGTTCCAAATGCCTTCGTATCTCACCTGCATGTGTCTTTGTTGCAAAGCTTGGGACATCCCATTGTTCTTGTTCCCTCTGATAGTTCCCCATATAGCATGTCTTTGGGTCCCTCTTCCAATCTGCTTAGATGGCCTAGCCAGCACAGTTGTCTGTGTTTGAGTAGAGCTGTCACACTTGGTAAATTTGCCCTCTGAAGAACTTCTATATTTGTAATTTTATCTTGCCATTTGATGTTGAGTATGTGGCATAAACAGTGCAGGTGAAAGCTGTTGAAGCTTTTCTCTTAATATTCGTAAGTTGTCCATGTTTCCCCACCATACGTGAGAGTGCCGAGTACACAAACTTTGTATACTAGCATTTTGGTCTTGATGGTAAGCTTTGAGTTGTTCCATGCTCTTTTAGTTAGTGTACCAAAGGTCGTGGCAGCCTTTCTGATGCAAACATTAAGTTCTTCATCCAGTGAGAGGTTGGTGGTCACTGTGGAGCCTAGGTAGCTGACTTTTTGTGCGGTAGGTAGCTGGTTCTCATTAAGAGTGATTGATAGATCTTGTGGAACTCCCTGTACTAGTGCAACTGTTTTCTTTATGCTGATGGTGAGAGCAAATGCCTGGCAAACTCTTGAGAGGCGATCCATGAGTTCTTGTAGTATGTCTTTTTCATAAGCTGTAAGGGCCTTCTCTAACTTTAGTCTTTGCCTTAAGTCATGACAGATTGAAGAGTTTCCCATCTGATCTCGTGTGGAGGTACACTCCACCTTCCATGTCTTTAAATACACAGTTCAGGAGTACTGAGAAGAAGATTCCAAAGAGTGTAGGGGCAAGAATGCATCCTTGTTTCACTCTGCTTTTTATCTTGAAGCTGTCCAAAGTGGACCCATCAAACTGAATAGTTGCTTTCATGTTGTCGTGGAAGGAATGTATAAAACTTAACAGGGTTGGTGGGCATCCTATCCTTTCTAGAACTGCAAATAGACCTGTTCTGCTGATAGTGTCAAATGCTTTGGTTAGATCCATGAAGGCAATGTACAATGGGTGGTCCTGCTCTCTGCACTTTTCTTGAAGTTGTCGCAGGGAAAATATCATGTCTGTGGTTGATCTTCCAGCCCTGAATCCACACTGAGATTCAGGGTAGACACAACTTGCTAACTGTTGTAGGAGCACCAAGATGACCCTTGCAAAAGCTCTTCCTGCTGTACTTAGTAGTGAGATACCTCTGTAGTTGTTAGTCACCCTCATCTCCTTTTATTTTTAGAGTGCTGATATTTGCATCACACATGTCTTGTGGTACCTCACCCTCTTTGCAGCATTTGAGTAGCAGCTGATGAAAATATGGTAGTAGGCTTTTTTCCCCCATACTTGAGAATTTCCACTGGGATACCATCTTTCCGAGGAGTCTTGCCGCTTGATAATGAATCAATGGCCTTGCTTAACTCTTCTACAGTGGGTTCCACATCTAACTCTGGCATGACCTGTAGAGTTGGTATTTGGTCCCGTGATTCACTGGTGATGTTGTATAGCTCTGAGTAGTGTTCAACCCAATGAGACATCTGCTTGCTTCTACCTGTAATGGCTTCACTGCTGCATGACTTGAGAGGGGCAACCTTGTTGACAGGAGGGCCTAGAGCTTTCTTCAGAACATCGTACATGACTTATAGGTTTCCTGTGTCTGAGGCTGTCCACAATCTATAAACACTGCAGCTTTTGAATAAGTGTTGTGCTCTAGGACATTTATTCACACAGGAGGCTGTACAAGATGTTCTTGTGAAGTGTTTTGAAGCGTCTGTACCCAAATCTCAAGTCTGTTCAGCTCTGACCCATGCTTCTGTCAAGGTTGTGCTCAATGGGGAACTAGTTTGGCATTGGTATAAAACTCTGTAGGAATAGCTCTACTCTTTCCCAGCCGTCAGCCCACTCCATTGCTGCCCATACATATGGTTCAGCATCCCTTGTCTCTTCCAGGAGCTTGTGGGCTTCATATACAAACCATTTGCGACTTTTAAGCCTCTTAAGCCTCCATCTGTTTGGGTCTTCAGTTAACAGTTGATGGAGCAGGTCTCCATGAGAAGAAGCTGCCACCTTTGTGCCTTACAATGTCCTCTTGCTCTGTGTCACCTGAGCCTGTGCTGGGGAAGCAGGGAAGGCATCATTTGCTCTAAGACACTCAGGCTTCACTGGCCAGGCTCCAGGCCCATGGTCAGAGCATGCCAAGCAGTGCTCTTCAGACAACCAGGCTCCAAGTGCTCCTGGCTGTGGAGTGGAGTGGACCAGGGTGGGATGGAAGTGACACTTGCCAGTGCTTCCAAGGAACTATGGGGTGGGGCAGGGCAGAGCAGGAGGAGATGCCCCTAGACCTTGGAATCTGCCACTGTCCGGCACCCACAAGCCACCAGAAGGACCTGGGAAGGGGTAGATGTGCTCACCATGCTCAGAGGGGAAGTGGGGGGGTGTCATTGCACCCCAGCACCTGCACTAGCCTCATGTTGTTCCTAGCAGCAGCAGCAGCATTTGCATGAAGGAGGCAGTGGTGGCAGGGGCTGGATGTGGACAATACCGAGCTGATCAAAGCAGTCAGGTATAGCCACATGCACCGTTAGCAGAGCCTTCAGCTACTCCTCTGGCCTGGTCCCTGGTTGGATCCCATGAGCCCAGTCTTTCCTCATGGTGCAAAAACCAACTCCCAGGTCAGGAGGATTTGGCCACCCCACAACAGCACCCCAACTGCCCTGTTAATCACCCCCCTGCACCTCTGTTCTTGCCCTCTCTTTGAGAACCCACCTTGGTTCCTGGGGCCTCACTGGCACAGAACTAGGCATTACTGCCCTAAGTCCAAGGATAACTTGGGGAAGACAGCAGCCAGTGAAGTGAACTTGAGTTCATGAAAGCTTGTGTGCTCTCTCTCATACATATAAAATGAGCAAGAGAGAACATGCACAAGCTTTCATGAACTAAATATCAAATATATATACACACATATACACTTCAATACTTCCAGTCCTTCAGCACTGCAAAGACAAACCATTACTTACTAATTAGTGGATTCATATTTTCAATATATAATACGGTATTTAGTTTCTAAAGGTGCATACCCCGTCTTCTGACTGACTTCAGACTAGCACAGCATGGCTAACTCCCTTTCCTTTGGGGGAGAGAGATCAGGAATCTGACTAATGTATCTCATGTCACAGGGCTTAACTTCAAAGCCCCATAAAAATGCAGTTTCGTTTGTGGAATAAGAAGGAAAGCCACCATTGTTCACAGGGACAGACACTCCTCTCTGGAGCTGGTTTAACCACATCGGGCAGCCTGTGAGTTCCAGTCAGAACCAAGAGCCCACTGGAACCCAAGTGCCAGAAGTACTAGACCTTGTGCAGTAGTTCTACAAGCCCCTTCCTCCTCTTTCCTTGCTCAACGCTGGCCTCTCAGATCCTTCCACCTACCTCTTCATTTTTATGTAGGGGTATCTTCTGGCTCTGTTAATCACTGAAAATAACCGACTGCCTTAGCATCACCTGAACAGGAGGGCCAGCAACACAGCAAGAGCACACGGACACGAAAAGATGACAAACACAAATTGGAACCAAGTTACGTGGGCAGTTTCTCTTTTATTTCAATGGGAAAACAGTGCTGCACTCCAAAAGCTGTTTTCCCTACACTTGAACCTGAAAACGAGGCCAACTTATATGCAGCACCATTGAAACAATAGGGTAGTAAATCTGTGCCTTCTTTTACCCAGTGGTAAACTAGTTTGTGTGCCTGTACCCCAGAAGTCTGTTTCTATTTCCATTCAACTTAAAAACCTTATTGAGTTCAATCAAATCAGTAAAGCTACTTTGGACACACTGTTATATCTGAGACCAGATTTGACTTGCCTGGGCTGTTTCTGTTTTCACTGTAGTTATTGTGTTTTACCAAATATAACAGATTTCCACAACAAGTAGTTAACTGTCATTGTTTACCACAAAGAATCAAGGGTTTTTTTTCTGGACCATAACAGTTAAATAGCACTCCAACCTCAGTCAGATTTAACAGAATTATTCCTTCAGCACTGGAAAGACACACTATGATTACCTACTAATTAGCAGAGTCATATTTTCATAACCTATCAATTTGAAACAAGAAGTTAAACACAACAGAACAATTAGTCCCCGGTTTACTGGCAATACTGCCCATGGAAATCACTGAGAATGTGTTTATTCCATTGCAGTTAATAGCATACACTGTTTA